AAAGAAAAGAAAAGAAAAAGAAAGTGGATTCATTACTACTAAACTTAACAGAAACCTAAACAGATTATAAATTGAATATTATGAACAACTGTATGCCAACAAATTAGATAACCTAGACGAAATGGACAATTTCTAGAAACACATTAACTATCAAAACTAACTCAAGAAGAAGTAAAAAATCTGAACATACCTATAACAAATACAGAGATTGAATCAGTAATCAAAATCTCCCAACAACAGCAAAAAAGCCTAGGATGAGACGGTTCCACTAGTGAATTCTACCAAACATTTAGATAATTAACAACAATCCTTCTCAAACTCTTCCAAAAAAAAAAAAAAATAGAAGAAAAGGAAACACTTCTTAACTCATTCTACAAAGCCAGCATTACTCTGATACTATAGTCAGATGGGGACATCAGAAGAAAGGAAAACTATATACCAATATCCCTTATGAATATCTATGTAGAAATCCTCAACAAAATACTGGCAAACTAAATCCAGCAGCATATTAGAAAGATTATACACCATGACCAAGTGGGATTTATCCCAGTAATGCAAGGGGGGTTCAACATACAAAATCAATCAGTATAATATACCACCTTAATAGAACTGAAGGAAAAAAACCTTCCTCAATTGATTATCTCAATTGATGCAGAAAAAAGAATGGACAAAATCCTCTTTCATGATAAAGAAAAACACAGTCAACAAACTAGCAATTGAAGGGAACTTCCTCAGCATGATAAAGGGTATTTATAAAAATCCACAGCTAACATCATACTCAATGGTGAAACACCATACGCTTTCCCCCTAAGATCAGGATCAAGACAAGGGTGTCTCCTTTCTCCACTCCTACTAAACACTGGAAGTTCTAGCTGGAGCAATTAGGCAAGAAAAAGAAATAAGGCATCCAATTAAAAAGGGATAAGTAAAACTATCTCAGTTGCAGATGACATGATCTTAAATACAGGAAATCCTAAAAACTCACAAAAAAACTACTAGAGCTAATAAACAAGTTCAACAAAGTTGCAGGATACAAGATCAATACACAGGAAAATCAGTTTTCCTATACATTAACAATGAACAATCTGAGAAGGAAAGTAAGAAAACAATTCCATTCACACTACCATGAAAAATAATAAAATGCTGAGGAGTTAATTTAACCAAAGAGGCAAAAGACTTGTATGTACATTGAAAGTTATAAAACATTGATAAAAGAAACTGAAGAAGACCTAAGACCTAAGGAAAGATATTCTGTGTTCATGAATTGGAAGACTTAATATTGTTAAAGTGACAACACAACCCAAACAGATATACAGATTCAATGCCATCCCCATCAAAATCCCAATGGTCTTTATTGCAGAAATGGAAAAACTGATCCTAAAATTCATATGAAATTGCAAAACAATTTTGAAAAAGGAAAACGAAGTTGGAAGACTCATACTTCCCGATATCAAAACCTACCACAAAGCTATGGTAATCAAAGCAGTGTAGTACTGGCATAAGAATAGAAATGAACCCATTCATTTACGGTCAACTGATTTTCACAAGGGTACCAAAACTTTCAATGGAGAAAGAATAGTCTTAAACAAATGGTGTTGGAACAACTCAATATCCACATGCAAAAGAATGAAGTTATATTCTTACTTCACACCATATACAAAAATGAACTCAAAATGGAACAAAGACCTACATAAAAGAGCTCAAATTATAAAACTCTCTGAAGAAAACAAAGGAGTAAATGTTCATGAACTTGATTAAGCAATGATTTCTTAGATAGGACACCAAAAGCACATAAAATAACAACAAAAATAAATTGGATTTTATCAAAATTACAATTTTTGTGCATCAAATATTATTCTCAGGAGAGTGAAAAGACAATCCAAAGTATGGGAGAAAATATTTGCAAATCATATATCTGATAAGGGTCTAGTATCCAGAATATATAAAGAACTCTTACAGCTCAACAACAAAAACGCAAACAATCCAATTTTAAAATGGTCAAAGGACTTAGATAGACATTTCCCCAAAGAAGATATACAAATGGACAACAAGCACACAAAAAGAGGCTCAATATCATTAGTCACTAGAGAAATGCAAATCAAAACCACAATGAAGGGCTTCCCTGGTGGTGCAGTGGTTGAGAGTCCGCCTGCCGATACAGCGGACACGGGTTCGTGCCCCGGTCCGGGAAGATCCCACATGCCATGGAGCAGCTGGGCCTGTAAGCCATGGCCGCTGAGCCTGTGCGTCCGGAGCCTGTGCTCAGCAACAGGAGAGGGCACAACAGTGAGAGGCCCGTGTACCACACACACACACACACACACACACACACACAAAAAGCACAATGAAAAACCATTTCACACTCACTAGGATGGCTATAAAATAAGAAGTGTTGGTAAGGATGTGGAGAAACTGGAGCCCTCATACATGGCTGGTGGCAATGTAAAATGGTGCAACTGATGTGGAAAATAGTTTGGCAGTTCCTCAATATGCTGAACATAGAATTACAATATGACCCAGCAATTCAGCTACGAGGTATATACCCAAAGGAACTGAAAACCTATGTTGAAACAAAAATTTGTACACAAATGTTTATACTAGCACTCTTCACAACAGCCAAAAGGTAGAACAACACAAATGTCCCTCAGCTGATGAATGGATAAACAAAATATGGTACATCTATACAATTAAATATTGGGTTGGCCAAAAAGTTCGTTTGGTTAATGAATACACTGTTCAATAAAGTTCTCGGTGCAAATGAAAAATGTCTTTTATTTTTACTTAAAACCAAGTGAACTTTTTGGCCAACCCAATATTATTCTCTCGTAAAAAGGAATGAAGTACTAATATATGCCTCAACATGAACCTTAAAAACATCTTGCTACATGAAAGAAGCCAGTCACAAAAGAACACGTATTATATGATTCCATTTATACAAAATGTCTAAAACAGGCAAACCTACAGACAGAAAGTAAATCAGTGGTTGCGTAGGGCTGGGGGGGATGGGGGATGGAGGGTGATAACTAAAGGATACAGGGTTCCTTTCTGAGGTGATGAAAATGTTCTAAAATTGACTGTGGTGGTGGCTGCACACATCTGTGATCATACTACAAAACACTTGATTGTATACTTTGATGGGTGGATTGTATGGTATATAAATTGTATTTTAATAAAGCTGTTATAAAAGATATTTAATTAATCCAAAAGAAGGCAGAGAAAGAGGAAAATGGAATGAAGAATAGATGTGACTAATATAAGATAATAGCAAGAAGAGAGACTCAAACCTAACCACATCAATAATCATGTTACATGGAACTAATGTAAACATCCCAGTTAAAAGGCAGAGATTGTCAGATTGGATTTAAAAAGCACCATCATATGTTGTCTACAAGAATCTATAAGGGAGGGGGCATCCTTTAAATATAAAGACAGGAATGGGTTAAAAGAAAAAATGATGGAAAAGATACACTATGCTAACACTAGTCAAAATAAAGCCAGAGCAGTTATATTAATATCAAACAATGTATATTACCAGAGGTCAGGAGGGTTATTCATAATGATGAAGGGGTCGATTCTTCACAACAATCTCAAATATTAACAGAGTTTCAAAATACACAAAGCCAAAAATGATAGAACTATAAGGAAGAATAATAAATCTACAATTAGAGTTGGAGATTTCAATACCCCGCCTCAGTAACTGAGAACAAGCAGACCTTGTACCAGCAAGGATGCGGCAGATTTAAACAAGACTGTGCCCAACTGGACTTAATTTACGTTTACAGAAAACTCCAGCAACACCAGCAGATACACAACCTTCTCAAGTGCACACGAAACATTTGCCAAGATAGGCCTTATCCGGGGCTATAAAGTAAATCTTACTAAATTTAAAAGATTCAAGTCAAAAAAGTATGTTCTCTTACTTCAGAGGAATTATATCAGAAATGAATAATAGAAAGATATCTGGGAAATCCCTCAAATATTTGGAAACTAAATACTAAATACTTCAAATAATCCATAAATCAAATAAGAAACCAACGGCGAAATTAGAAGGTATTTTGAAGCTGAAGGAAAATTAAAACATAACATATCAGAATTCGTAGGATGTTGCTAATGCAATAGTTAGAGGGGAATTTATATCACTAAATGCCTATGCTAGAAAATGAGAAAGGTCTCAAACCAATGACCTCAGCTTTCACCTTAAGAATTACAAAAAGAGGGGCTTCCCTGGTGGCGCAGTGGTTAAGAATCTGCCTGCCAATGCAGGGGACATGGGTTCGAGCCCTAGTACAGGAAGATCCCACAGGCCACAGAGCAACTAAGCCCGTGCGCCACAACTACTGAGCCTGCGCTCTAGAGCCTGCGAGCCACAGCTACTGAGCCTGCATGCCTAGAGCCCGTGTTCCACAACAAGAGAAGCTACGGCAATGAGAAGCCTGGGCACCACAATGAAGAGTAGCCCCCACTCAATGCAACTAGAAAAAGCCCGTGCGCAGCAACAAAGACCCAACACAGCCAAAAATAAATTAATTAATTAATTAATTTTAAAAAAAAGAATTACAGTAAAACCAATTAAACCCAAAGTGAGCAGAAAGAAAATAATACAATTCAGAGTCAAAATAGAAAACAGACAAAATAGGAAAAAGAAAAACATAGAAAATCAATGAAACCAAAAGCTGCTTCTTTAAGATTTTTTTTTTTAATGGACAAAAACAAATCTAATGTCACAAGAAAAGAATTTTAAAAATTAGAGGTGACCAATAATGACCAATCACTCCAGGAATGAAAACACCCAATGGCTTTCTGTTGGGCTGAATAAGGAAAGAATGAGCAGTGGATGTACACAAATCCTTACTGAAGCATAAGCAAGCCTGGCTTACCGTGTCCTTAGTAAGTGGTAAACTCAAGTATTACTCAGGATAATTTTCACCAGGATTTGAACAACAGGAAACTATTTAAGTACATAAGTCGATAAGAATAATAAACTAAACACGGTTACTGACCTCCTCGGGGAGAAGGAGAATCGTGCCCTCCAATGACCATGAGGATGCCGGAACCTTCCAGCTTCTCTTTCCATTTTTCAATGATAGTCATAGACTTGTCCTGAAAGCACGAGGACGTTGGCAGGTCAGGAAACTTTCCTCCAAACAGTCAGAGGTGACTTACACTAGGGCTAAATCACCAACAGGAAGTTCATAAATACCTTACTGGCATCATTAAAAATGGAAAGCTCCATGGAGCCTTCGAAGTCCTGCTGCAAAACAGACCCCAAGCACTCGTCCAGCCACGGTTCAGCGTCATGGACCGGGAGGATAACAGACTGGAATTCAAAACAAAACGATTGAGAAACAAGTGTGGAAACTGAATACTCTTTCCATGGCTCTAATTTACTTCCCCATTACCATCCACACAATGCTTATTTCCAAAGGGCAAGACCTGACTTACAGAGTAACCCAGAATAAGGCTTCCAGGGAAAGAATATTTCCTGACAAAAAAAAAGGTGTCTATGCCTCCTCTCAAGATTTATTGTCTTAGATTTCCCAGAATTGGTCTTTTGGATGCTTTTGAAAAGGAAACAAAAATCTGAAAGGCATCAAAAATGTTCCCAATTCAACAGCAAATTCATGTGTTTCCCAATCAGTGGTCAGAAACATCATCATTTTGGTTGAAACAAGCATCTGTGTATCTTGAACCCACTCATGAAATAAGCATTTTCAGTAAACCATGATGTTAGAGAAACTGCAACAAAGAAACCCTTTTAAGTAACCCCTACACTTGCTTTAACAAAGTATGGGGGCGGGGCTGGGAAAAGGGGAGGTGACCTCCCTCCAGCTCTCTTCCTTTGCTCTACTCAGTTTAGGATAGTTTGGCACTGTCCTCTTCTCATAGGGCCCACATAAAACAAAAATTTATGAAGTGTATGGAGTAAAACCAGTGAATCTTGACTGCCAACAAAACAACTGATTACAGGATTTGTCTTAATTCTGTATATTACCACATTAAGCAATACAGAATACCCAAAGATAGAAGTTACAGTCGGTCCTCACTCTTGAGTTTATACCCTAACGAAGAGTGGACACACTCCCAAGTAAGAAGACAGAAACACAGGTCATCCAGGTGTGAGCGTGTGTCTACATATGCATACACGTGCAAACATACATACATGCATATATGTACGAATTATATATCTATACAGAATATAGATATTTTAAATGCTAAATCTGAATATGGTTATGAAAAGCTCACAGATAAAAGCACTGAAAATACAGTTCTGTCAAGTTCTTTACTCTGAGGATCTGATTCAACAGTGGTATCCCTTACTGCATTTATGTTACCCACATAAATAGTTCCCTAATTTACTTACATATTTACTTTACTTTGGAATTATTTTTTAAAGGAAAGAATATTTTTACTGTTTTCAAGATCTACAATACAAAACATAATGTGAATTTCTGCCAAAGATGAGCCTTGATTAATCTCTGTTCGCACTCTTGCTGGTGCTTTAACGTTGATTTGGGCAGAGACCCTTATAGGCTGCCCAAGAGGAGAGGCGGTGGTGGTGTGGGAAATGGAGACCCAGGATGGGGAGAGGAGGGAGGGAGGGATGGGGGAGAGCGGGGCGGAGAGGAAAGGAGAGCAGAGGAGGGGACAGGAGACGACCGCAGAGTCGGGGAGACAGAGTCAGGGAGGGGTACTAGAGCTGAGGGGCGGGGAGGGGCGAGGAGGGACGGGGCGCC